ATATATATATATATATATATATATATATATATACGTTTTCTCTTAAGTAAATTATTGCTATTTTTTACCGCCGAAACCTTGATAGGATAAATCCTATTTCCGCTAGAACGTTGTTACACAAAGCCAAAGACAGATAAATAAGACAAATTACTGCACTTAACAACTTAAACTGTTGAGACGAGTGAATTAATAGTTTAATCAACTTTGAGCTTGGTTAATATTATGCATAAAAAGGAGGAACATTTAAGTTAACTAAACAGCCTTTTGAAATCCCTCACTATAACTTTACCTAGTCGTATATTCGAATAAAAAGAAATTATCGCAATGCATTCAGAAAAAGTTCACGTTTACATCAATATACATATTTCATGATATATGTTTTGTAGAGGTGCCTTATAAATATTTTCACGTAAATCTAATGAAACGTTTTTGGAAACAATTGTTACGAATAAAAGTTTGTTTTTTTGTATACTTCTGAACTTGCCTAGTTTTTTCTTGCTAAAGTACTTCGCCTGTAGCATTATAATTGTTTAAGGAGAAAATTTCTGAAACTCCTCTTCCTCCTCTTCTCTCTGCTTTCAACCCTGTCATGATTCACTTATAATACCTACACCATCCACAACTTCGTTAAAAGAGAATAAACGAAAAAAAAAGGATAAAATTAAAAATATGTATTAACAAACATTTGCACAAAGACGGTAAAAAATAACTTGAATGCTAAATGATTAGAAAAAAGAGGATCATTATGTCGCCAACTGATGCGTGCCTATTGAGGGGGACTACTAAAGGCTAAGAGACAGGGAAACGGGGTGGCGCAGGAAAAACACGAATTTGTTGCGAGTGGACAAGGGAATGGAGTAGAAGGAAAGCAGTAGAGGAAAGAAAATAAGAAATTTGAGTTGAAAAAAGAAGTATAATCAAGTAAAGTAGAACGGACAGTAAACAAAAACTGAAACCTCAATTCGTTTACAGATGCCTTGAACCAGATGCCTCCAGAGAATTATAACCCGGTCCAACTCCGAAGCTGTCCACTTGATGGCCCGACTTCTTTCCAGGGTTAGACGTATTTGGTATATGGTACATTCCAAAAAAACTGACCTTAAAACCATTTTAAACAACAGTTCAATTTTTCCAACTTTTTTTTTTATTTCTCAATTTATCCATCTTTACTATCGCAGTTTTTTTCTTGCTTGTTCCGCTTTATATTATCTTCGCTGCTTCTCATATAATTTTACTTGTCTGCTTTACTTAGCAGAAAATTTATTACATTTTTTTTCTGTTTTTGCGTGATGCTGTTTTGCATATTCCAAAGAACGGCAACTACAACGACTAAGCAAAGAACAAGAAGCAAAAGACGACAATGAACAGCAGCATATTTGATTTTTCATTTTTAGACGGATTTAACATTTAGGGGAAAGAAAAGTAATTTCTGAGACATGAGTTTATGCCAATTTTTAACATGCACAAAATTGAGTACTTTTGAAGATTACAAACTGAATAGATGGAAGAATATATAAGAAGAGACAGAAGACGTGCGGCAGTGGGTACCAGAAGAGCAGAAGAAAAGAAGAAGAAGAAGCAAAAGGTCAATATAAAGTTCCAATGTTGTTGACGATAATCTGCTTTTAATGATGACACACCATTTTTGACTAAGCCTCATTTTTCGTTCGGCTTCTGTGCACTTTTCCGCCTTTTGATGGCTATTTTTCTGTTTTTCCTTTTCTGTAGAAAGTTTTGCAGAAGACAGCAAAAATAAAAAAAAATATTTTCTTTTGGCTTTGGGTAAGTTGCAAATTTTGAAATGGAGAGCGTAGGAGCAACGGTAGTTATAAGAAAAAAAGGTGCTATGATTATCTAATTTGTGTCTCGTTCTTCCGGTGATTTTTTTATTATAATTACGGGAAGAGTAGAAAGCGGAAAACAGCTGCTAAAAAAAGTTGAACAGCGAAAAATAATCGAACTTTTCTCCCCTTCGAAAAGAAAGAAAAAAGTGAACTTATAAAACAATTTGCTGTTTTTACTTACTACTATTTGGCATTCTTTTTCAGTTTAATTTTCCACAATTTCCATTAAGCAATTTAATAAAAGTTTTTTTTCCAGGTGTGCGACAAACGTCAACGATTAAAATTTTTCATTTTTATTCGCTTACTATATTCCTTTTTTCCTTTCCTGAATATTTCCACTCTTTTCAACTTCAAAAAACTATCAGTATCATTCTCTACAATTACCTTTATTAGTGAAAGACATTTTTTGCTGGTTCTTTTAATTTCTTTAAAGTTAAGCGGTAAAAAGCTCAGACTGGAAAAAAATCTCAGACAACATACAAACAACAACTCCTCACCAGTAATACGGATGAAATCCGTGACTTTGCTTTAGTTTGCCATGACGTCTTCCCAAATTGTCTAAAACTTGATTGAAATCGTCTAAATGGCCTAAGTGATTTATGCCAGCTTCTAATACCTAAAAACAGGCAGATTTATGTATTTATTTCAACAGTAATATAATTACAACTCATAAAGACAAAAAGCGAAAAAAAGGAGAAAACAACAGCAATAAAGGGAAAAAACAGCACATCAATTTAGTGAGCAATTAACTATAGTTCAGCGAGCTAAACGACAAAAATATGACACATATTTTTCACTATGTTGATTAGTACGTTATAAATATTTGTTTGTTTGTTTATTTACTGTTTAATCCTATGCAAAAACAATTGTTAAGCAATGAACATTTTCACTACTTCTAAAAAAAAAAAGTTTGTTAAGAACAAAAGAAATTGTGTAATTAAATTTAATTTTAGACAGGTAATCAAATAAGCAAAAAAGAAAAGTAGGAGAACAGTAAAGAAACTTTAAGAACAAGATATCATCTGTAATAATCAAGCATTATAAAAAACCTGGAAAAATCGCATGGCTTGAAAGGAAAATTCACTGCCTCGTTTATCGACAACACTGTCTGTCATATACGGAAAAAGTTTTCTGGCACTTGGGACCTTAAAATACCAAATAATACGTCATTTCTTACGATCACTCAGTTGATACAACAAAGGGAAACTGACCTTTACTTAACCTTCCCTTTTCCTCCCAAACTCTTCCCTTCTCCAACATTCCTCCCTTACCTACTGAGCAACTGGCACATGACACTTTTTAATGTTTAACTGTAAATGTATTCGGTCAGCGCTGCGAAGACAGGAAGCGACCTTAGTTAATTATAATTGTTTCCAAAAAAAGAATTACAAAAAAAAATAGGTAAACAGAGAAGCGGAAAAGAGCATAAAAGTAAAAAAGAAAAAAAAAAGGAGGGTAAGAAACTGAAAGAAAAAAATGACTGATTATTGCTGCCAATGAGTTGTTTCGTTTTGTTTGTGCTTTTCCTCTACTATACTGATAAAAAACAATTCTATTAAAAAAAATAAAAAATAAAAATAAAATAGAATTGGTCGACTAACCGTTTATCAAAAAGAGAAAAAAGAATTTTTTGACCAAAATTACGAAATCAACCGAAATAACCGAAAATGAATTACTTTTTTGACATCGCTTCCCAGCACTTTTTTTGTTTTTAATTTTTTCTGTTTTCGATTTTTACATGTTCTTTTGATGCAAAATCAACAATAAATGTTGTGCTATTATAACCATAATAAGTTGCTGATTGTCTGCTGCCTTTTTTCAGACTACCAAAATGAAGCGATAACCAGGGTTTTCCTTTTGTCTAGCCGGACACAGATTACGCAAGAAAAAAAGGAAGGAGAAAAAGTGGTGGAGACCTTCATTTAAAATATTTAAAATTACAGAGTTCAGAAATATCAGTTAGCAAGTAGAAAAATGGAAGAAGGATGAAAAACTTGGAAAAGATACAATGACGAATGATCAACAGCAAAAAATTATATTCTACTGAAAAGGTATATACTATTTCACTAGTGTCTTTTCTCTTTCCTTTTTTTCCGATGCTACTGTTCAGCCCATTTAAATTTATCCTGTCAATTTTTTTTTCTATCTACTGTCAAACGCAGTAACCACAAT